CACAATTTACACTTATTTATGTGAGAGAATAATACAAAGAAATGTCTCAGAAAGATACTAGACTTGTATTATAAATCATTTCACCCTGTCAACACAGGATATCCTTAATGATCCTTTTGATGGATGAATAAGGAAACGTACCTCTGGCAGTATGCTACAGACCCCCAAATGGCCCAAAGACCCCAATTAAGTTTTATAGGGACGTTTTCTTCTCAATTAAAAAGAATATATGAGTGACTTACAACTTATTTTAAGTGTTGTTTCAGAGGGAAAAAACATTGGGGGTTGAGCATCGCATACAGGGTCAAAATGTTGTAATGGTGTAAAAAATTACACTTTTTTAAACATTTCATTAGACTTTTACACTTTTTTATGGGTTTTGTTGACTCTTTTAACAACATATAGTATCCTCAGCCATATTGTTTGTGAACACACACATGCACCTCACTGAGGGACACTGCAGCTTTAACCCTCCTGTAAGTGAACATGAATGAGCTCAGTCCTTGAGTAGAACAGCTCTCCCACGACTTCCTCATTGTAGAGTCACAGTGGGGGAGTCACAGCACACGGCAGCTGCTCCTGCATGGCGGGATCACAAAGCCTTTATGCACAAATGAAGGACTGTGGAGGATGCGCGATGCAGATGTTTTTCAAAGCAGACAACAGAGACGACACTGTTGAAGTATATTTCAACACACACAAACACATGGGCGAGTTTTACAGGGAGTTCTTGGATGATGGCTACTTCTCATGGATGTTTAATCTAATATGGATTTACAGGAAAAAAATGTGGTTTAATGTAGCAGGATAGTGCAACAACAGATATTCAGTTGTGGGAATATTACTACAGAGATACATTTCAAAATGTATAACAGAAGCATGAATTTAATTAGTGCAGCAGGGGGACAAAATAACAGGGACAGCTACAATGTAATGTAATTCAATATAATACAGGTACAAATCAGCTCATGAGGAGTAAAGGGGAGCAACGTAAAGCCTGATGTTTTAAGTTACAATATAAGTTATTTATTTTGAAGAATAAAAAATTACAAAGAAATGAATGAATGAATGAAAGGAAACTAACAGACAGGAACCGATTGAGTTGATGTTGAAAAACAGGACTTTTAGAAAAGCAGAGTTACATTATCTAACTATCTTAAAACAATAATGCAAATAAAACTATAGCTAAATTGCCCAGTAATAAAAACTTTGTATTGCATAGTCTCCAAAGGCTGCATTACATTACACAGACTGTTATCAACTGGAGCTCAATATTGCATCAGGGATTAGTTAGTTATTAGATATTTCAGTAAATACCACCAGCAGGTTTTTTTTTTTTTAATTTGTTTGTTTGTTCATCTACTATTTAAAGGTTCAGTGTATAAGATTTAGGTGAAAGGGATCTATTGGCAGAAATTCAGTATAAAATAATCCTAGTCATGTTTCCACTAGAGTTTAATCATCTAAATTGTACGAATTGTTGTTTTCTTTACCCTAGAATGGTTGCTTTATATTTAAATACCTCTCTACGGAGGCTGCCATGTTTTTTTACAGTAGCCCAGACAGGACAAACTAAACACCTGTTGAGTTTTAATGAACTGAAGGCTACAACAAGTTCTGCAACATGCAACTTCACCACTAGATGTCACTAAATTCTACACGCTATAACCTTGTGCCAGCTTGTTCCAAGATGACAGTATCAACAATATATGATATAATAGAACGCTGAGTATAACAAAGAAAAGTCTAAAAATACAAGTGAAAAATAAGAATATTAAGTGCATTGTAAATTAAATAAAAACATAGTGTGTACAGGGTAATGCAGAACCAGTGCCTAGAATAAAAATGAATAAAATGATCAAGTAACATGAGACAGTGAAACTAAACAAAAGTGGCAGTAGGTAGTGATGATTAAAGGAGTAAGTAATATGAGATATTACTTATCACATGATATTGAAATAATATAGTTTGTGCAAAAACTACAGGACATTACCACAAAAATGTGTAGAGGGAAGGTGTATGCTTTAGGGAAGAACCCAATTAATTTTGGGGCAGTTTGTTTCGAGGATATTTATGAGTATGTGCAATTTGGTGCATATCCAAATAAAAATGTGGATCTACTGAATTTAAATGTGGTTTCATGAGAGGACTGTTGGGCCTTGGCGAAGGTATGCGCTCTAGTTCCTGATGTTTTTGTTATCAGCCATCTGTTGAACCTCGATCTTATCTGCATACATTTCTATCAATTCTCTTAGTTTTTGCTTTCAACTGCTCCCCTTCTTTTCTTTTTTTTGAGCATCATTACTGATCCACTTGTTTCCCTGACTGTATTTGTGGATAGATACTTATGCCCACCATCTGTTGAGACATGTCAACAACCCTCAAACACTCACAGTTAAGTATCAAGGTCAAGCAGAACACGACCATCAGCATCTGCAGCTGAAGCATCTGAAGCTCAGTATTCTGCTATGTCCAGAATGGACAAGTCAAATAAACAATGATTGCACGTGATATGAGGTATTTGTTTTGAAATAATATTTTCTGTTACCCATATGATTGCATTTATTGGAAATAGAAGGATCAGTGTTTAGTGGTCATGGAGATAGAGAAAGTACATTGGCAGTAGCAGTTGTCACATTAGTCACATTGATGACACAGGCCAACACAACCTGCTTCAAAGCAGCTGCTGCCCTTTATCAGAGCGCTCATCTGTTTATTCAGCGTAGATGCCAGGCGTAGTAAGGTTTTAATCCTAATCCACTTTGCATCTTGTTGTTTAAGTGATCACGGGGTTTGTCCGAGCTCATGAGCATTTTCACCACTGTGTGTGTGTGTGTGTTTGTGACTTTTGTGAGTGTGTGGCTGCAGGGACGGAATATGCAACAGAAACCTCACACACACTGGGACATGTGCTGCTGTGTGTGGGAAATGAAAAAGTCCAAGATTTGCAGGAGAAAATAGTCTGAGGAAGGAATGAAAGAAATGTAGCGAGGGAAGGTAAGGACGTTCTGATATGGTAACAATTTTTTAGACAAAACAAATAATTCTATTTATACTTTTGCAATGATGTTGTGAGAACAAAATCCAATAATTCTAATAAGAATTCAAAATAGACATTTTTAACATCAAAATCTGAAATAAAATTGATAAAATGACAAATGTGTTCTGCTGTTATTATGGCATTATTTCCAGGTTGCAAAACTCAAGGTTGGATAGCTTATATAAAAGTATCTTTGTCTTTGACAGTGAAAACAGCAAAGGGTCATGGGATGTGGCATGGGAAAATCTGAACTACGGCTGAAAAAATGTGACAGAGGTGCACCCTTCATCAACAAACATTTTGGTGAATAGTCAAACAAAGTTTATATAGAAATGTCTTGAATATTGAAATAATCGTCTGTCGTTACCTTTTTTAGTGACCATCTCAGTTCCAGGTAAACATCAGTTTTATTCCAACATGTCTTTACACTTGTGTTTTAACTTATTGCAGAAAAAAGTCAGGTTAACACAAATAACATCTGCAATCTCTATTCATTTTACGACGCTCTGTGAAGCTGCCACTGGTGAGTCTGACACAGTGATTTAAAGCATCGCGACATGACAGAGGAAGAGTAGTAATGACTCTCCTCTTCTCTTTCCCAGCAATCAGGGCGGCTCTGTTGATCCAGCGCTGGTACCGTCAGTACGTGGCCCGGCTGGAGGTGAGACGCAGGTGCACGTGGAACATCTTCCAATCGATTGAATACGCAGGAGAGCAAGACCAGATTAAGGTTTGCACATAAGTAATATTAACTAATCCTTGATGTAGCCTTTTTAGCCATGTTGGATAAAAGTGGATGGAAATATATGTCCGTTCACCAGAAAATATCTCAACAACTACAGGATGGAGTGCCATGATTCATTCATGGTCTCCAGAGGATTGATCATAATGTGTGTGGTGATCCATTGACCTTCCATCTAGCACTACTATGTAGTTGACGTGTGTGAAATGTTTGATAGACTGCGATGAAACTCAGAGTCCATGGTGGATAAATCACTTTGGTGATGACTCTTTATCGGAAAGATATGTCAAGTTTTTAAATTCCTCTTGTAATAAACGGGCTTAAAGTTCAGTACAAACATTCATGGTATACATTTTTTTTGTTCCTAATAAAATGTCTCAACAATTCGTGGATGGACTGTGATGAAATTGATTACAGATGTTCATGGATACCTCAGGATTTCCTGAGGCGGTGATTGTTTTCTTCACCACACCACATTAATGTCTAACTATTGTTTGTTCTATTACTGCACCAAAGTAAATCAAAATGTAAGATCAATGTGTGTTTCATAAAAAGATGATTGTCATGAGAAATATAGAAAATTGTTCCTCTGGGACATGCACAAGAGCACATGTTTACATGCTAATTTTAGCATTGAGCCTGAAGTACACAGCCCCACACAGCTGCTGTCCATGCAGCTTCTGACTCTGTTTCTTTTCCACTATGAATCCTTTATTTAAAATGATTTTCTCTCATCTTCTCCTGCAGCTCTACAATTTCTTTGGCTTCCTGATGCAGCACTTCACCCCAGCCAGCAGTGAGAGTAAGACCATGAACATCTCAGCTCCTGTTTTAATTCACTGACATTTCATCAGATTATGAAAGTGAGATAATCCGAGTTTACGTGCTCCACTCCCCTGCTGAGGACAAACAAGTGCCTTTCCCTCGCCGCAACTGAACCTATCTTCCCTCGCTCTCCCCTCTCGGGCTTTTTAACACAGGAAACCTGATATCTCACATCTTTCGCGAGAATGAAATCTGCCACCAGGCAGAGTGGGAAAGGTATTTCTGCTGCGAGAGCGTTGAGGTGCCCAACAGCTACGCCGGCCCCCACCTGACCTTCCCCATGACCTTCTGTGGGGTGTCGAAGCTGGTGGAGGCCTTCAAGCACAAACAAGTAGGCACACGGGCACAGAAAGCTCACTCATGGCAGCTTTGAAATCAGAAACAGAAACCTATCTGCCTCTCTCTTTGGCAATGTTTATTCATACTTGATTTTTTTCCCCCAGTAGCTGCTCCATGCTCGCTATGTTCTGCAGCTTCTTGGAGAGACCTGGAGACTTCTGAGAATCCTTACAAACATCAGTCATGTCTCCACCTGCCATACAAAGGAGATAACCATATGTGGTACACAGCAGCAGACCCTCCGTGGACACACTCTGCTCCTGTTTTTTGTCATACATTCCTTTGATTATCAACACTTTCTTCATTCCTCCCCAGGAGACTTGCACGGGCACCTGGAGGACCTGCTGTTGATATTCTATAAGGTATTCACAGGAGGCAAATCACCACATTGTCAGTGAGCGATGTTCACGTTTATAAGTACCTTGAACTTGATCTGTCCAGAATGGTTTGCCGTCGTCCGAGAAACCGTATGTCTTCAATGGAGACTTTGTGGATCGGGGCAAAAACTCCTTAGAGATCCTGCTCATCCTGTTTGGGTTCCTGCTGGTCTACCCCAATGATGTGCACCTGAACAGAGGGAACCACGAGGACCACATTGTTAACATGAGGTGCGGAGGACATGCCTCTCAGTTTGCTTTCTTAGTCTCAATCCTATTTATTCTGCCTGGAGCATTTGCATTAATGGTTTTGCATAGTGAGAGTTTGATTTTGGATTAAGGGACCTTTCCCTAACCTGAGTATTGCTCCATAGAACTTTATACACCTAGCATTCTGTTTATATTCAAGCTACAGCTGATGAATAAACTAATCTTCTTATTTTGTTTCTCCAGATATGGTTTCACTAAAGAAGTTCTCTGCAAATACAGGGTAGGTCTTATGCATTTTGCTTTAACCCTTTCAGGACATCACCCTGTTCTCAGTGGTTGAAAAACTATTTATCCTTTACTTCAGTAATAAAGTAATAATTTTAGTCCATTGTTGGTTTTGATATTTGTATGGCCTTAAGACTAAAATTATAGAACCATGCTATTATCTCTGTTAGGCTGTAAATATATGCAGGTATAATATTTGCCATATTTACCATTTTATTCTTGTGCCAGCATGCTAAGATATCCTGATTTGTACTAACCACAAAGTACAGCTGAGGACAGGTCTGAGCATCACCAAAGCTATTGCAATTCAGAGATCGACTGAAACTTCATGGCGACCATTGACTGTTAAGATGTTTCAGTCTTGACCAAAGTGGTGGACTGACAAACCAACATAATCAACCAGGAGCTGCATTGCTAAAAACACGGGAATAAGATATTGAGTTAATGATAATAATTCCTATAACTGTAAGATGTCATGAGCTGGACTTGGTCTGCAGGTGCATGGCAAGAAGATCCTGAAGCTTCTCCAGAAGATCTTCAGCTGGCTGCCCCTGGCCACAGTGATTGATCATAAGGTGCTGGTAGTACACGGAGGGATCTCTGACACGACAGACCTCGACGCGATAGCCAGAGTGGACAGGCACAAAGTAAGAGAGGACTTCGGCATCAATTAAGGAGACATACTGTATGTTTTTTCTTCTGGGGGAGGGGGGGGCTTTAAATAGACAGGAGTGTTTCAGACAGAGGCTGAAAAAAGGAGCTGCAGCGATGAACAGTTTGAAGAAACTGAAGTGTTTTCTGAACGTTAGAGCATGTAAACCACATTCAAATGATGAACCTGAATATTAGTATTTCTCCTTTAAATTTTTTTTTTGCGGCAAATCTAAAGATATTATCAGGAAATTTCCCAGACAGAAATGTTAGTGTTCAAGCTGTGTGTTTTTGAATGTGTGCAGTACGTGTCGGCCCTCAGGCCTCCGAAGACGACCCATTATGCAGTAAATGACACAGAGGCCAGTGGTCCAGTGGAAGCCCGGCGTCGAGTGTGCTCTCTTACCCACCACAGCTCGCCGCCACCTCAGAGGTATAACCTATCTCGCCGCTCGCTGCACAACCTGCCAACTAGCAGTCAGCACAGTTGGTCCGTGGAGGAGGAGCTAAAGAGGAGGCGCAGGTTGGCTGGGTTTGACCAGTCCTATGGTGAGCTGCAGAGGTCTGACTCTGACCCAGAGTGCGGAGCGACAGCACAGACAGACGAGCATGAGTGGAAACAGGTAAGTGATGGAAAAGATCAATCTCCGTGGCAGTTTTTGTTTTAGTTGATGGAAACCATTCTTGACAGTCCTTCACCGAGTGATTTGAAACCTACAGTGTTTGCACCATGTCTGATTCATCCACCCAGATAGTGGACTTGTTGTGGAGTGACCCCATGCCCCAAAATGGCTGCGTTCCCAATGAGGTGCGAGGTGGAGGCTGCTACTGGGGTCCAGACGTCACTGAGGAGGTGCTGGGAAGACACAACCTGCAGCTCCTCATCCGCTCCCACGAGTGCAAACAGGACGGCTACGAGTTCTGCCACAACCGCAGGGTGAACACAAACAGTCACATAGCTCACTGATTTTAGAGGGACAGAAAAGTACTTACTGCTGCTACTGTTAATAAGATAATATTTACCAAGAGTCTTCGGATGCATCCAGGTGCTGACTATATTTTCGGCATCTAACTACTATGAGGTGGGCAGCAACAGAGGGGCCTACATCAGAATGGGCCCAGATCTGGTCCCACACTTCATTCAGTACCAGGCGAGCCGAGCGTGCAGAGAACTCACCCTGAGACAAAGGTAAAGATTAGGATTAAACTGTTTATTTCCCAGGTGTTCCAAGTTATACAGTTTAATTCAGATGTTTTTTTATCTTATGGTCTTTGTCAGTGTCGGGTGGACGGAGAGATCAGCCCTGAGAGCTCTGAGGGAACAACTGTTTGTGCATAAGTCAGATCTCATCAGTGCCTTCCAGGAGTTTGATCCTAACAACACAGGTGCAATACACTGAGCGGCAGATTTATTTTAACACCCTGATATAAAACATAGGAGTACTTTGTCATTACTATAGACTGTATATAAAGATGTACAACGCACTACATCCCACTAGCCAAAATATCCTGGATATCTTGTGTATTTGGAGCGAGAGTATGAGAAGTGATCAGGGGAATCAAACCGTTTTAAAAGTCCTGTTGATACACGTGCTCAACCAATCATGAGTCTTAGCTGTCAATGATGATGTTTCGCATTAAATAACTAACGGACACATGAAAAACCACCAGAGTGATTAAAACTACCTGAAATGACAGAAACCATCATATTTGACAAATCAGGCTTGTTACTTTTGTTTTAATGCATTTAAGGGGAA